TTCTTCTTATGGTGTAGCTGGTAACGTCTTTAAGATTATTGAGTCCTTTCTTTCCAATCGTAGTATAAAAGTTGTCCTCGATGGACAACACTCTTCTTCACATCCTGTAACTTCAGGGGTTCCTCAAGGTTCAATCCTTGGCCCTATACTCTTTTTAATTTACATTAACGATCTTCCAGATATTCTCACATCTAAGGTGGCATTATTCGCTGACGACACTACCATTTACTCTTGTCATGATAAGAAGCCTACACTCTCTGATTGCTTGGAGGGGGTATCTGAGCTTGAAAAGGATCTCACTTCTGCTACAGCATGGGGCTCACAGTGGCTGGTGAACTTTAATTCAGATAAAACTCAATTTTATTCGGCCAATCGTTATCGTAATAATTTAGATCTTCCTATATTTATGAATGGTAATGTACTAGATGAGTCATCTACCATTCATCTTCTAGGATTAACTCTTACTTCTGATCTTTCTTTTAAACCGTATATCAAATCCATTGCAAAATTAGCATCTGCTAAGGTTGCATCTCTTTATCGAGCTCGACACTTTCTTACTCCAGATTCTATTCTCTATCTCTATAAATCTCAAATCCGTCCCTGTATGGAATACTGTTGCCACATCTGGGGCGGATCTTCTAATGATGCTCTTTCTTTTTTAGACAAGGTGCAAAAACGAATTGTAAACATAGTTGGACCTGCTCTGGCAGCCAATCTCCAACCTTTGTCACATCGTCGTAATGTTGCTTCTCTTTCTCTTTTCTACAAATACTATAATGGGCACTGCTCTAAAGAGCTAGCGTCCCTTGTGCCATCTACTAAAATTCATTCTCGTGTTACTCGCCATTCATTTAAGTCTCATCCTTTTTCTGTGACTGTTCCTAAGTGCTTCAAAAACTCTTATTCTTCTAGTTTTTTTCCTCGAACATCAGTTCTTTGGAATTCGCTTCCTTCATCTTGCTTTCCTGATTCATATAATTTGCATTCTTTTAAGTCATCAGTCAATCGTTATCTTGCTCTACAGATTTAGTCTTTTCTCTTCCAGTAACTTCCAACTCTTATAGTGGTTGCTTGCAGCCTTGTTGGAAGTGAAGATGTTTAAAAAAAAAAAAAAAAAAAAAAAAAAATCGCTACTAAAGAAAATATTCCAAATATTACTGCTTTTTTTAAAAATAAATCAGGGTGCTCCCAAAAGAAAGTAGCTCAAGTTTTTAACTGTAGTCAAATTTCCCAAGTATTAAAACAATGACTAACATTCAAACTTTCAAAAAAACAAATCGTCCAGATTGTAGCCATCACCAGAAGAAAGCTATGCATCCTAAATGTTGTAAATTGTTCGAAAATTATAAAAACTTGAATTTTGTTATGGATGATGAAAGCTATTTTATGTTAAACAATATCGCATTAGCTGGTAATGATAGGTTTTATACCGCTGATCCTTCTCAATGTTCTGTTGAAGTAAGATAAAATTTGCGTAAAAAGTACGAGGACAAGCTCTTAGTTTCTTGTTGCATCAGCATCCGTGGAATATGCCCTTTTTATATTCATCACAGTAAGCAGGCAATCAACCAGTACACTTATAAAGAGATACTATAAAAAACTTTACTTCCTCTAGAATCATAAGACAATGAGTTTAACTTCTGGCCTGATCTAGCTCAATCACATTACGCAAAGTCGGTCATCAACTTTTTAAAATTGAAAAAAATAAAAGTTGTACCCAAAGATATAAACCCAGCTAACGTTCCAGAAGCAAGACCAATTGAAAACTTTTGGGGTGATTTAAAACGGCTAGCGTACAAGAATAATTGGAGAGCTAATAATTTAAAAGAGCTTGAAGCAAGAATTAGATATTGCTATTCAAAGATGAATAAAGAAATTTTCCTTATTCAAATAAAACATCTTTCAAAAAAACTTTATAATATTGCTAAATATGGTATTTGAAATAATTATTTTATTATGTTTATAAATGTTTATGTAAAATATAAGTCTCTCCATCATATATTATATATTTTTTTGTTCTTATAAAAAGGGAGAAGTGCTTTTGTTTAAGAGAATTCTTTTCTCAAATATATTTTTTCAATATCGTATAAAGTTCTTTTGACATAATACATTTATGAACATAATTTACGTTTATAAATATCTTATTGGTAACTGATAAAATCTATAAATTGTTTATAATCTTTATTAAACATACTACATAAAACTTAAGTTAAAATAAATAAGTTGTGATATACAAATAAAAGATTATCTTAAATGTAAGATTTTTTTAAGAAATGAATTATAAAGAAATATAATCTTTTTTAAACATCAAATTTAGATTTAGTTAATAATTTTTGCTAAGATTATTAATTCAATCATTATTAAGGTTTAAAATTAAATTTAATTACAATAGAATACTTTGAAATATTTAAAGTATCAATAGTTTTTAAGCTCCTGTAATAAATAAGATCTTAACAATTGCAACACAATAAAAGCAAAGGGTTTTAAATATTTGTAAATTTTTTTTTATATTTGTCAATACTTGTAAAAAAAAGCGCATATTTTTTTGATAAAATAAGCGCTCAACTCAAGAGAAAAACCTGATGGCATATATATCCACACATGCTTTATCTGAAAGTAGAAAAGTAAATATTATCAATAGTTTACATATTACATTTATTACTTTTGTTTAAACAAATTATAATGAAAAATGACTAGAATATGCGAGAAATCTGCTGAATGCAAAAATTTTTATAAAAAATAGCGAGGCAACTCAAAAAGTCGACGGGTGACCAAAATTACAAATTGATTGCTTTCAGTCGCCCTTCTAGCGACCGACCAAAAATCCTAGTGTATATATAATTAATTGTTTGAATTGAGAGTAATGAATCTCAATGTGTCATTTGATGTAACCATTGGCAACACAATGGGTGGGATTTGTTTAAAAAGGTTTATGACAAAATTGAATTTTTTCAAGCAGACAATTAATTTATGGGTTTAAATGTATGATTGATTTGTGGAAGTTTATATAATTATGTATTTATATAATTATATAAACTTCCACAAAGCAATCATCTATTTAAACCCTTAATTATTGGATTATGTCTTCAATTCTACTAAAATCTGCTCACCTGCACCAGGCTCACTTAGAATTCTCTGTATCACTCTGCCTTTTTTTCATTTGACTAATTAATTTTTTTCTTGATTGACTAATTAAATACAAACATCTATCTATGGAAATCAATTTATGTAACATCTAATGATACAATTATTTACAGAAGATACTTCTGCTCTCTAAAAAAGTCTTTAAACATATTTTGTGCAGATTTATTTTTAACCACACAAAGTATATTTTGATCTCTAATAAGTTTTTTCCTTAGGTATAACACAATGGGTGGTATAATTCAAATTATAGAAAAATTAAGCTATGTAAAAGAGAATTTAAATATTCACCATTGTTTTGTTTTTCAAAAGCTTTAAATGAGGTCGATCACAATAAATTTTTTTTAAACTGCATATCTTGCTTCTTAACTCACATCATGGGTTAATAGGTTAAGTGTGGTACTTCCAAAAGCCTTGGATGGATTTAAATCTGGAACTTCACGATTGTGTGCCAAGTTTTCTGCCACTAGTCAAATATCACATTATTATTGACTTATTGTTATTGATTTATTATTAACTATATTAAGTCATTATCTTATTTACTTATGCGTCTAATTGGTTATACTCAGTTAATGCATCTGATTGGTTATACTCAATTAATGCATATGATTGGTTATACTCAGTTAAGCATACTTAAAGTTTATAGATTATCTCGCAGCTTGTACAGCATACCTATTCATTCATGTTGCAACCTCACACCAAAATAGCACCAGCTCTTACACAAGCAATCACAAAAATTTACTGAAATTGATTCAATAAATTCATACCAATTCAATATTACATTTATTATTACAATTTATTACATTTTATATTTGTTAAAAAACATTACATATTGAAAAAATTTGTTAAAAAACAATTGCGTACTTAGTGAAAGTGACAACATTCGTTCATAAGTAATATTTCTGGTACATTTTCTACTTAAAATTAAACTTTATACGCTGAAGTTCAATATAAAACATAAAGAAAAAAATTACAGTTTTAAATAAATACTATAAAATAAAAATTTTAAACAATAGAATTTTGCTTAGAAACAGTTTTACATATTTACATATAAAAAATTTCATTTTTATTCAAATCAATTTTCTTGTGTTTATTACCAATTTATAAAATTATAATTTCAACAGTCTAACAACTATTTGACTTATTTCAAAGTTGTGTGCTTCTACTGTAAATATTATTTTATGCTCAAAAATGTTTTATTCATCTAGTTTCTAGTTTCTTCAAACATTGATACTGTAGAACTTTCTCCCATCTTTATGTTTTCCTGACTCATACAACTTATAATCTCTTTACTTCATTTTTGCTTATTAACTCTTCCATTGTTTCTCTCTACTTTATTCTTCTCTTAAACTTTAAGTTTCTTTCTACTTCATTCTTTGCTTTAACTCTCCTCTTGGTTTTTTGTTAAACTCCTAACTTAAGTAGTGGTTGCTTGTGGCCTTTTTAAATGTAATTTTTTTTTTTAAATTGTCTAGATTTAAGTATTTGTTTGTTTTTTAGTTTGTGTACTTTCTTAATTATTAGCCTTTATATATCGGTGGATTGATTCTAAAACATTTTTTGTCCAAATTTGAGTTATATTGAGTTATGGATGTTAAAGTGTTGATCTCTGCGCCCTCTACCATCTACCAAATTATATGGATTATATTGAAGCAATAAAAAAATTGTAATATATATTTAAATATTTGATTTAGTATACGAGCTTGAACTTTTAAAAACATTTTTCTCACAACTGTCTAAAATGGACAACAATGTTTTAAAATAGACCCCTTGATATATTTCCATACATATAAAGTTATATAGAGTGTTTATATGTTCTTTTATAACTTTATTTTTTTATTTCATAATTTTTTTTACAGCCACTGCAGGAGAAAGAAAAGAAATTAACATTTGCTCTAATGGCCCGTAAGTAACTTCATTATAATAAGTGTCATTGTTATTAATATACATTAATTGTCTACATTGTTATTATAATCAATTTATTTTTCATAATTTGATTAAAATTTTTATGACAAATTAAAAAAAAAAAAAAGAATTTATTAAATGTTTGTTTATAATTAAATTTACTAAGTCAAGTTAAGTTATTTTTTAAAAATATATAAAAATGGATATTATTTTTAAAATTTTTATGTAATTTTTTTCTCTTGAGGCAAAGGTTAGCTTTTATTAAAGTTTTTAAATCTGCTAAATCACATGTTAGGAATCTGTTGTATGTGTGTGTGTGTGATGTGTTTATCATCTAGAGACCTTTGTAATTATAATAAAACACTTTTTAAAATATGTGTAGCAACATATCAAAAAATTTAAACTGGTTGTTATAGCAACTCTTTCATTAAGATTGTTTAGTTTATGCTTTTTTGTTATTTGGATCTAACTACCTGAAAATAAAAGTAGAAATAAAAATCTTTAAAAATAATAAACTTTATATTTTTACAACAAAATATATTAATACATATTGTATTTATTATTAATACATACAAACATTTTTGCAAAAAATGTTATCATACAAATTGTTCTGTTATCGAATAAAATTGAAAATTGTATACTTTTTGACACATATTGTGAAAATGCTATTGAAAGTTTAATTTTTTTTGTGAAAATGCTAGTGAAAATCTGTATGACAAAAAAAAAAAAATTCTGTAGATGGCAAGAAAATAAAACATGGCTGGAACATGAAAAAACTGCTGTAAATATATTGTGAAAGAAAAATAATCACTAAATAGTTTAAATCTCAAATTTGACTAATTAAGTATGATGTAATATTAATTAAGTTGTAAATATAATATTTACAACTTAATTAATATTTTTTTATTTGTGAAAAAGGTTTTTTAGTACTTATTTAGTTCTTTGGTGTTTTATGGTGAAAACTTTAAACTCAGACTTACTTGAAATCGTGGGTAAGTTTTTTTACGTAACCAATGGTTAATTCATCTGCAACTGATTTGACGTTATTAAAATTATCTTATATTAAGTACTTCATTTCATGTAAGATAAGCACCCCAAAAAAAAATTATCTAAACTATGAGTAGGTTGACTCACATAAGTTATTGCTGACTAGTTTCAGCCTTCAGGCTTTTTAGAAGTTTGCTTGTATAAATAGCCTGAGTACTTTAATTTTTTCCATTTGGTATAACATATTGTCAAAACTTATAAAAAGTTGTATATATAATTATATAGTTATATATGTACAGTTCAACTAATTACACTTAAACAAAAGGAATGTCTGTATCTCTATAGATTTCATTACTTTCTTACAGAACCAACTTAGCTTTATTAAAAAATAAAAGATTTGGAAAATAACTCTTGTAGTTTTCTTGAGTTTTTAGCTGCGGATTATTGACATTTTTTATTTAATATTGGTAAAGTATAGCCACAAAAAAGTTGATTGAACTTTAGGAGCGTTAAATATATATTTAACAAAAAAATATTTATTTTTATGTGCATGTACAAACAATGTGATGGAGAAAAATAAGATAATATAAAAAAATCGTTGTAAAAGTTTTTATTTAAAAATAAGATTTTTTTTAGATAACCGCACATATCTTTTTCAAGCAGAAGATGAAGCTGATTATGATGCGTAATAATTTTTTTTATTATAATATATATTTTGTATATATTATATTATTATATTTTGTATAAACTTATAAAAACTAAAATAGAAAATAGTATAAAATTAATTCAATTAAGTTTATATTCATTCAATTTTATTTTTAGTTTTATTACTTTTATTCATGCTATTTTTGCTTGTTTATTTTATATTTATTGCTAATTTTTAGATTTAGTTATGTTTTTTTTTTTTTTTTCAAATGATTTTCAAATTTTTATAAATAATTTTTTAGATGGATATCAGTTCTAAGCAATGCTCGTGAAGAAGCACTTCACAAAGCATTTGGGGAAGGTGAAGAGTCTTTGGTGAGTTATTGAAGTTTAAATTTTAGTTAAAAAAAAAGTTTAGTTATGAAAGGTTGGAGTTGTCTTTAAGAAAACTAACTTTGTTTTGAGTACCATTGATTCAATGATGTTCAAAACATACATTTTCCAGTTTTTCAGCATGTTTTTCAAAAGTAGCCCTTTCTAGTTTTTCAGAGTGGACACCCTGGTATATAACAAAATTTATATAGTATACTATATATATAAAATAATATAAGATAAATATAATAAATATAAAATATAACTTTAACTTTTTTTATTACTTTTATTTAAGTTCTTATTTTTATTTAGTCAAAAGAACCTGTTAGCAGTTTAAAGGAGGTATTTAATGTATATTAGTATATATTTTTGATGTTATAGTTTGTTCATATATAAAAATATATACTTATAAAAAATAATCTTTATTATTTTTATCATACATGCAAGCCTTCCCGGGATAGGCGTGTGGTTTTTTGTCTCGTACGACCACGAAAACGTTTTTCAAGTTAGGGAATGTAATCACGGCCGTTTGCGCAAGTTATATTATATGCGTTACTGAAAAATTGTTTTAAATTTATTAACTACATAAGAAATTAAAGTAAACTTAAATAGAAAACAATAATAGTTTAAATAATTTGTGTGTTGTTTTTATTTTTGTTTTTTCTTAGTGGTTATTATTATCGACAATAAAATTCATTAAGTCAAGCAAAAAAAAAACAACAGTTTTAGGTGTTAAAAAGGATGACTTTTGCATATTTTATGTGTTTTTTCTTTTAAAGAGGAAAAAGAAAATATGTATCGTCATCTGTTTGTAAAATATATTTGTATAATTATAATGTAACAAGTTTATATCAAGAGTTTAATTATACGATCGCGATTTGCAAACTCTGGTAAAATATTAGGTCTTTAAAATTTAAGTTCATGTAAAGCTGTGTACTTTGTTTATAAGGAGCAAATTATTAAAAGTTTGCTAACGAGAAAGTTACAAAAAACAAAACAAAAACAATAAACTTACGGCTACAAAAGTAATAACACTTTAGTCACTAACTGTATTATAAAAGTAATAAAACTATAATAGTGTTATTACATTTATAAAGCACTTATTACTTTTATAGTGCATTCTTTGTTCAAACAACATTATTAATTCCAAGCGTTTATTAAAGTAGAAAAGCATCTAGAAAAAATAAAGCGGATATTCAAATATTATTAAAAATTTCAGGAACTTTCACATATCACTTAAACAACGTTATAAAAAAGTACTTTATAAAAAGTATAGCATTATGAAAAACGTTACATAAAAATGTGTGTTAATTATAAAATTAACCAACAAAAAAATTTTATTGGTTAATTTTAAGATTAACGCGTGTTTACAGTCCATTAGTAACTTTTTTCACAATGCTAAACTTTTAATACGATACGTTTTCATAAAGTTGTTTGTCACGTTTTTATAAGTTACTTTAGTTTTAATATTATTTGAACATCCACTTTATTCTTCTAGATATTTTTTTACTTCAATTAAAATTTGGGAATACTAATGTTGCTTGAACAAAGAATGAATTTTAAAAGTGTGTTATAAAAGTAATAACACTATTATAGTGTTATTACTTTTGTAATGCAGTTAGTGACTAGAGTTATTACTTTTGTAATCGTAAGTTTTTTGTTTTATTTTTTATTTTTTTGCTAACAAATTTAAGTTGATTCTCCCCTTAAAAACAAGGAACATGGTTTTGTATAAACTAAAATTTTGAATACTAGATATTTTTCCAGATTTTGCGTTTTGCATTTGTTTAATTCAACCCTTGTTGTTACATTAAAATTATACAAATGATTTTTACAAACACATTGCAATTTGTATTTTTGCTATCCTCTTAAAAAAAACTAAGAAAAGGAAAATCATTCTTTTTATTTTAGACTTCGAACTATTTTTTTTTTGCTTCGATCTAATTTTGTTGCTGCATGTAACTCTAAAGAAACAAAAATAAAAACAGTACACAAATTATTTAAATTATTAATTTGTTTTTATTTGTTTCTATTTCAATCTCTTTTTATTTTGTTAGTTTTGTTTTTTTGTTTTTGAAACTTTTTCAGCATTATTATAAAACTTGCAAACGGCCATATTCACGTTTTCTAAAATATTATAATCCCGTGTGGAACTGTTTCTATGCATATCTGATATTTAAGTGATATAGATAAGTTTTCCTGAAGTTGCTTATTAACATTATATAAGAGCTAGCCATTTTCATTTTAGTGCACAAAAAAAAAATTTGTGATAATATAAGTTGTTAAATTGCACAGACTTACCATTGTCAAATCGGACAGACTTATTATTGTGAAACAAATACTTTTATTTTGACTATGATTGAATGTAATCTTTTCTAAAGTTTTTGTCTGTTAAGTTTTTAGTAACAAGTCGTTATTATATTATTTCATTTTATTATTTAAAAAGCATATAGAACATTTATATTAAATAAATGCAAATGAAATTTTAAACATCTTATGTATAAAATTACTAACAACTCAGTTTTTTTGATATTTATTCTTCAAATAATTTTTAAAGATAGTTGAAAATTTAGTGGTGTGGTGTAATGGTAGAGTGCTTGCCTCATAAACAAGGAGTTCCGAGTTCGATCTCTACCACGACCCTGGTAGTACTGCAGTCAACTTGTTTCTTTGCTGGGGTTCCTTGTTGTTCAATATTTGTGTTTTGGAGTTATAGAGTTGGGATAAGATTGTAACCACAATTAAAGTAGTCTCTTCAACTATATGCGGTAGTGGTGTAGTGGTAGAGCGCTCGCTTCATAAACGAGTGGTTCCGAGTTCGATCCCCACCACGTCCCTGGTAGTACCGCGCTCAACTCGTTTCTCCGCGCAGCGGCCTTGTTCATCAAGGTTCGTGTTTCGGAGTTATAGAGTTGAGAGAGGGTTATAACCACAAATAAGTAGCCTCCTCGTCTGTAGTGGCCTTCTCGGCCTTGAGGAGGTGAATTAAATAAAAAAAAAAAAAAAAAAAAACTGTAGTACCCTTTGTGGCCTTCGTGGGGAGCCAAATTAAAAAAAAATTAAGATTAAGATGATTTTTTTTTATTTGTAAAAAGATTTCATTAAAATTTAATTAATTTTAATGAAATCTTTTTAAAGTTTTTAAATTTTTTTTTAATGTGATTTTAAAATTTTTTTTATTCATAAATAGAATTCATAAATAAAAATTATAAAAATTCAGCATTATTGTGTAAAACCTTTTTCTTTTATACTACACGAAATAAAATAAACAAATAAATACAAATGTCTAAAAAAAAAATGACAAAAATAAGTATAAATATACAATTTTTAAAAAACAAAGTAGATGTAAACATATTGATAAACCAAGTAGATGTTAGCATATTAGTGCAATTACTAAATATCTTATTTAATTTTTTCTTTATTTGTAATTTTTAAAAATTCATAAATTTTGTCATTTTCAAGTTGCATTTTCCATGGATTCTTAATTAATTAACAAAATCATAAAAAGTGCTTTTACTTTTTAAAAGTTATTAATTTTTTTTTTAGTTTCATTCATTTCTAAATTTTCATTTGTTTTTAAGTTCGTTATATCAAAATTGAAAAAGTTATATTTAAAGAAAAGATTATTTTTATTTAAAAAATTATTTTTAGTTAACACAAGGAATCATTTCTGAAGTACAAAGACTTCCTGGAAATAACAACTGTGTTGATTGCAATGCTCCAAGTAATGTTTTATATTATTTTTAATTAATTTAGGGGTGGCCACAATAAAGCCTGCTGGCCACATCTGGCCCTCAGCAATAGTTTGTCCTTTTAATTATATAAATTTTTATTAATATAACTGCTGTCAGTTATATTAATAAAATTTTATATAATTAAAGGGACAAACTATTGCTGAATAATTTACAAAGAAATGTAAAGTTTACAAATTTTTTATAATTTTGAAAATTTATACATAATCCAGGCCTTGCGATGAATAAGAACTGCGCGACGCATAAGCACGACGTGATTTTTGACGTCATTAAATTCTTTTTATTTGCTTTTCATATTTATCGACATTAACTGCACCAATTTACTTAATTACCGCAAAACTTCTTTAAATCATTAATGTAGAAATGTTATTATTTAAAAATGTTTTGGAATGTTTCATTTTTTAAAATGTAAAAACATTTGTTTATTTTCTCGACGTTTGACACGTTTTGTCTATACTAAAGGAATAAAAAACATAAGATTTTCAAATAATTATTTTTTCTTTTTAATAAGTCAGAGAGTAATAAACTGGAAATTTTAATAATGTACGATTAAAAACTGTGCAATAGCTAATATTTTTACTAGCGATTTTATATGATATTTTTTTATTTATTTATTTTAATTTATTTTCATAAAGCGGTTGATAAGCACAAGCACTCGTATTATTAAAAAACTTTAACGAACGTTTTGAATAGATTTTTAATGTTTACAAGGAATTTTATTTTTGGTAAATGAAATAAAATGTTAGAATAAAAATCTTTTAGGTATAAAAGAAATATTTCAGCGAAAAAATTATTCCTAAAAATTATTATTATAAATTATTCGAAAAACTACTGACGCTCTATTTTTCAGCAGCTGTTCTTGAGCACGCTTCGTTGAGTTTCGATAACTTTTAACAAAAATGCGATTGTTATTAATAAAGTAATTTTTTTCGACTAACCTTTTTACAAAAATTTTAATAACTGTACTTTTTTATTGAATCAAGTAGAATACGTTTTAATATTAATCCTTTTATTTTTTTATTTGCGCTTATTAATTTTTAAAATGTTTCCTCGAAATTACTCTTAAATACTTTAAATTCGTCTAACAGTTAATAAATATTTTTAAATCTATGGAATAATTTTAAAACCTAACAAACCCCCGTAAAATAATTATTTAAGTTAAAAATCTAAAACTAAAAGAAAGTATTTTTGTTCAATTTTATCGACAACTTTGCTATTGCTGATTAATTTTATTAAAATGCTAGCTTAAAAAGATTTAAACTTTTTTTTAATCTGAATTTTTTCTACTTGTAACTAATGAGCATATTTATTATTTTGTTATTCAAACTTTTAGATCAACTGCGTGCGGTTTTTAAAATACTTTATTAAATGTTAAAATAATCGTAAATTACTTCATTAAAATTCCGCTCAAAAATATCTTTAAATATACTCAAACAAAAAATTTTTTGCTCGACGCAAATTGCCCTTGCTACACGCAAAATCGCCCTTGGACGACGTAAAATTCACATCGCCCGACGCTTTATCGCAAGGCCTGATAATCATTATTTATAAATTGAGAATTTAGCCAAAATGGGATCTTTTTCAAAATGGCAAATAATCTATGATGAATGTTGTATATTCAACAGTGAATGGTAAACAAAATATCTTTTTGGTAAATTTAATTCCAGTAGGTTTAATATCTAATGAGTTTCAATGTGCACTATGATTCAAAAAAATGAATTCAAAACATTCAAAAAATTTATAATCAGCGAAAGTAACAAAATTAAAAGGAATTGAAACATAAGTTTTAGGACAACAAAATTTGTTAAAAAGGGGAAATGCCAAAACATGAAAAGAGTCTTTTTTTGGCTGAAAATTGTAAACCATTTAATGACGGGGAAGTTATTAAGGGATCCCTTGTGTTAAGACACATTTACCCTGAAAAATTGAAAATTTTAGATTTTTTGTAAATTTACAGAAAATAATTACACCAAGAATAGGTGATATTGCTGATGATCTGGGTTTGCCATTGACTAAAAGGATAAAAGTATTTCAGTATTATTTGATTGCTATTGATGAATCAACTGATATATCACAGATTTTTATTTGTTGTATTTATAAAAAATTTCCTGTTGCTAAAGAGCTATCTGACGTCTATCCTATACAAGCAGAACAACAGGAGAAAACAGGATGACCAAATAAGCACAAATTTCATAAGTGCAAACTGGCATAAGTGCAAACTGGCAAAGAATTGCAAAAATTGGCATAAGTCGAAATCAGCATAAATGTGCCAAATAAATTTGCAAACATTGGCAAAAGTGGGAATTGGCTTAAGTACGAAATACTGGTTTGCACTTATGCCAATATTTGCAACTTAATTCTTTGCACTTATGCCAATTTGCACTTATGCCAGTTTGCGCTTATGTCAATTCACGTTTATTCATCCTCCCAGGAGAAAACAATTTGCTGACCATTAAGAAAGTACAAGGCAGAACAACTAAAGAAAACAATTTGCTTAAAGGAAGTTTTAAAAAAGTTTATCTTGACTTCAACAGATTTCAATTACAACAAAATGTGGCAACTCAATGATTGGAAAAAATATTGGTGTTGTTTCCAAACTGGAATACAAAATGACAGAATACAACTTGTCATTAATTAATTTGCTTTGTATTATTCATCAGTAAAATATAATAGCAAAGGCTATAGATGTGGAAGATGTCATGTCTTTAAAAGTTAGAAACAATAAACAGCAATAATTGGAAAAATTTATAACCTTGTTCTAGCTTTTCAGTTGAAATTAATCTTGTAGGAGTAGCAGTTAAGGACTGCAAATTTCAGTCATTTTTTAACCTTGGCTGAGCTGAATCCTGAAAGTAAAGTGTAATTTGTTACCTGTATTGCTGAATTAAAAACAAGATTAAAGGGCAAATTGACCCAAATTTACCAGATCGCAAATATTTTTGCAGAAAAAATAAAAAATGCATTACTACTTTGATCAACTTTAATCAAATATAATTAATTAAAATATTAATATAAATAAGCATAATAATAAAATATAATTAAGTGAACTATAAAAGCAAGCATTTCTTGGTGATACTTGTGGTCTAAAAAGTAAAATTTTAAAATCCTAAAATTCATAAAAACTTTAACCCAGGAATAACAAAATTAGCAGTTGTGGTAATATACTTTCAAAATTGCAAAATTAGCCATTTAAAGTTTGCATTTTGTAATTACTTAATTTCCCCCTTAGAGATATTCAAAAAAGGTTTGCAGATATTAAGAAACGACAAAATCACAAAAAAGGTTTGCAGATATTAAGCGACAAAATCACGTTGTTTGCAGTTAATTCTTTTTTGAAATTGAAAGTGTATTTTCTCAGATAAAATTTTCAAAATCTAAGACAAGATTTGTACTGATAGATACTAACTTGCAAAATACTTTAAGAACTGCAACCAGTCTTGTTTTTACCACAGTGTTTTTAATTGACATTAAAAACATTGTAAAAAAAGGCAGGTTTGTGATTACCAATAAACTATTATTTGTACTGTACCTAATTGCTAGCTAGTGTGTGTATGTGTGTGGTATTCCTTTGCGAGAGCCCATTTGATAATTTAAAAAATCATATTTTTAAAAACCTCGGCCCCCAGTTAACAGCTAAAAAGCTAACTTTGGTCCTAATAACTAAGGTTGTGGCCACCACTGAATTAGTTCTATTATTACATTATTATATTTGCTCTTGCTTGGTTATATTTAGTTTTTAGCATTAAATGTTCATTTAAGGTTGTTTTTTTTAAATTGATTTAAACGTCAGGAAAAAGTTTAAAAACTATAAATACATGCATATATATATATATATATATATATATATATATATATATATATATATATATATATATATATATATATATATATATATATATATATATATATATACATTTTGTTGTTTTCATTTCAGACCCAACATGGTTATCTATTAATATGGGTGTTTTAGTATGTATCGAGTGCTCTGGAATTCATAGAGATTTAGGTGTACACATCTCAAGAATTCGTTCTTTGACACTAGATAGACTAGGAACGGCAGAGCTTTTAGTAAGTTTAAAAAGTTATATAGAATTAAATAATTTTAGTGTAAACCTTTACACTAAACGAAATGTTTTTGTTTTCTATAACATCAAATTTTATCATCCTATGACTAAAGATTGTTTTTTATTTTTTTTATTGTTAGGTTTAAGGCACAGCTTCAATTTGTTTCTTGTGTGATTTTACTCATTATATTTCAACAATAAACATGTTTTTTAAACAATGATATACAGGGTGTTTGGGATAAATTTGACATATTTATAACTGATTATATTTTTCAGCAGGTTAGAGGATATAACATATTACTCATCATTTAAAGTTTGGACCCTTATTCATTCATATACAAGATGTCAGAAAGAATGGATGACTTGAACCCACCTGAATCATATAAAAGAATAACTTGCGTCATGATGATTTGTGCCATCTATTCAAATAAAGATATTATGACTGCTGCCCAATGCTCCCTGAACACAGTAAAAATGATCAGGCATGAACTAGGGACTTGCAATAGTGACTATGAGGCTGTAGCAAGAAGAAAGATCCATAACAGACAATCTGATTATGTTCATACAGCAGATTTCCTCAAAGATCTTCACCAAAAGGTGTTGAAGAACCTTGGCATTGGAATTCAGGCTTTGTCACATGAAATGAATGTTTCGTCCTCGACTACAAAGCTTGCACTCAATGAAGACCTTCGCTACTACTCACACAAGCGCTGCAAAAGACAGTTGCTTATAGAAAAGAACCATGAAAATTGTTTGATAAAAGCAAAGAAACTTCTGAACAAAGTAAAACACAACACCCAGAATAACAGATGGCTTGCATACAGTCCAAAGGACATTCCTTGTGTAATGCAGACTAAACTGTGATGGTTTTCGAATGTGTGTCCTCTGAGGGTGATGTAATGCCTCCGCATTTTTTCAGAGAGGGCCTCAGGTTGAATTCAGATAGCTACATGGAGTTACTAAAGACTGTAGTCAAGCCCTGGATAACAAGGGTAGCCAATGGCAGGCCATATGTATGCAGTAGGATTCGGCCCCTTGCCACACCTCTGGGAAAAGTCGAAAATGGTTGTCTGAAAATTTTTACAACTTCACTAAATGTTTGGCCTCCAAACTTCCCAGACCTTAACGCCATAGATTATTTTGTATGTGGCGCAGTTAAAAAAGACACCAATCACTGTGCCAGTAATACAATAGTCCAATTAATGGATAAAATTAAGAGTGTTTTTGAGGCCCTTCCCAGGGAGACTGTAGTATTAGCTTGTTCCAGGTTTCGAAGCAAAATTGAAGCTTTGATCAATGCTAATGGTGATTGTTTTGAGTGAAATTTGTTGGTAGTATTGTAATTTCTGTTTCTGTAATTTTTTTTTAATTCATTAAATTTAGTAATTACAAAGATTTCCTTTTTCCTTACAAAACTGTCAAATTTATCCTGAACACTGTTAGTTTTTTTTTTTTAACTATTTCATTTGCCATAAGACTGCAAGTAACCATTAAGTTACTCAATATTTACTCAAAAACAAGGAATGTTTTTAATGAAAGGAGTTACTCAAAAACAAAGAATGGTGTTAAAGAGCAAGAAAAGGTGAGAGAAAATGACTTAAGGTTGATGAAACTAGAGATAATAGCTCATTTGAGCAGCAATCATGATATTTGTATAAAAGAGAAAGAGATATTACCTTATGATGATAGAAGAGTGGCTTAAGCCTAACTTTAATTACATTTACAATGCATTTTTTTGCCTTTTCTAGAAGAAAAAGAACATCACTAGAAGATCCTGCAAAAATATGACAACAGTATTTCATTCAGGGAAGAATAAGAGATTTGTACAGGTAGAGAATAGAATCCAGAGTAAGAAAATTGTGACGTCTATAGAAATCAATTGTATACATAGTTTCAATAAAAGTAGAGAACTGTGTGAGAGGATTAATTCATCAATTTAGAAAGGTCTGCAATATTGTGATTTGAAGCAAATAATTGAGTTAAGATTCACAAACTCCTGCAAGTCCTAAGCTGTTACAGAAAAGAGATCAGATTCAGTATCGAAAAAAGTGAAGACTTTTTGTCAAGATAGGAGTATAAAAGATCTTGGGAATTAATAGAATGAACACAATAGTTGATCAGACAATAGTTGGAGGGGTCAGAGTGTTTTCCATAGTTGGTTGTTTCCATAGTTTTTCAAAATTGAAAGCACCAAAGCCATTCATCAGGTAGAAAAATGTAATTAAGATAGACATAATATTCATAGACAGAAATGTTGTCTGGACCACAAGTTGTAAAAGAGATAAATTGAGAAATAATTTTGGTGAAGGAAGCCGGTGAAATTTGGATGTCTAATAATAGTAAAATCTGTTTAACTGGAATGGTAGGAAGAGTTATGGCTATGGGATTTAAGAGTCGAATTAGAGAAAATGTTTTTTGCAAATAGTTCTGTGTTTTGGGAGAATTTTTGGAAGTTTTTTGCAAATAGTTCTTTCTTTTCTATCCTTGGGAGAGGTAATAAGATCAGACTCATTAATTAGAATGGGAATGTTAGACCTGCATTTGTTAATGACACTGTTGAAGATTTCCCAAAAGTCTGTAGAGCATAGCTTCTAAGAGAAGATACAAGGTTTAATAATAATTGAGATAAAATAATAATCAGACAGCACCTTTTTACATTGATTTCTTGCGATACTAAAAGAACATTTGTTCTTAAGAGAGTTGTTCTTGGCCCGCGAGCAAAAAGATATCTAAAATGCATTTTATATGCATCTATAAACAGGTCTAATAGATGTTTAAATTTATGTAGAGAACTAGCGCTAAATAGACGTCTATCTTATAGATGTTTTTTAGATGCATTTTGTTCAACATAAATTAATGTCTTAGATGCATAAAATAATGTGAAATATACATTAAAAAAATGTATATTAGATGTATTAAATGTCTCTTTGATAGATTCCTAAGACACTTTTAAAAAATATGTATAGTAGAAGATTTATTTAGCTTATAGCTTTTTTATATACCTAATATACATCATTAAGAAGTATATTTCACATCTTTTATGCATCTAAAATGTTATCTTTTTTAGATGTGTTTTTATATACATATTTTGTATGGAATATAATGCAACATAATAATAAATACATCTAGATGTCTTTCAGGAGCATAATATTCCTTACAAAATATGTGTCGATAAACAGACATCTAAAAAATTTAAGAGATATCTTATAGCTATAAGATAATTCTTAGACCAGTTTTTAAATGCTTACTAGATGTATATTAGATGCATTCTTTTTGTTTCTATATTAGATTTTGAATAAGTTTGTATATTATATATATTATTAGATGCATTATATATTATGTATGTATATGATTATTATTATGCATTATGCATTATATATTATGTATGTATATTATATTATGTATATATAGTTGCATAATATATTACATATATTAGATAGACATTCTAAGATTTGAAAGTTTTTTGAAGCATTTAACAAGTAAAGAAACAAATAGGTTCGAATTATTTTAAAGTTTATTTAACAACATTAAAAAATATACAATATAAAAGAAGTTCTGTATTAAGTCCATCAACTTACTGATCCATATCAATAATACCTAAAATATGATGCAATAATAAAAACATGATAATTAAATGCATTGTTTTTAAAAGCATGTATAATTCTAATATGTCCAGGTGCTGGATTAACTTGGGCACCTGGTCTTATTTGCGTCCGCCTCCAAATATTGGGGACCATAAAGGGCTCTTATTTTATAAAGATATATGCCACAGTAGTTGTGATTCTGCAGCTTGGTTTTGTCGGATTAATTTTTTAATATATTTTTAGAAGGATTAGGCTCCAAATATTTTCTGCACTCGGCCTCTAAGACTAATCCAGCTTTGTGTTTACAAGCTACAGTTAATTATAACTAACTAGCTGTCATGACCCGTAAAATACGGGTCTTGGTGAATCTACTCCACACCAACCTTTTCTATACTTATTCCTTACTTCAATATTTTTAGTAAGGGGTAGAAAAAATAACTATATACATAAAGAAAAACTATACTTATTGTTTAATTTTTAAAGTTATGAAAAAAAAAATTTAATTAACTTAAAAAAGCTTTAAAACTTTCTGTAGCCGTTGCCCAAATTGTTGTTTATCAACAGATAGAATATTAGTACCTGTCTAAATAACATTTAGATTACCTGGAACAGTGCACATGTCATGACCCTTATAATACTGGTCATGGTAAGTCTATTCCATATCGACCATTTTAATAATTTTGCTTTATTTCAATCATTTTTAAAAATGAGAAAAATATAAAAAATTTTTTGAGCAAATGTTTAATCCTTATAATTTCTGTAAATTTCTATAAAACAAAAAATTTAAAAAAATCTTTAATAAGTTTCTATTAATTTTTTTTTTTCAGTTTTACTTATTAGGACACTTGAGCTGTTAATTTTAAAGAAAATTAAAGTTTGCATGTAAAATCTTTTTTCTATAAGAGAGAAAGTTGTTTCTTTAAATGCGCAGACTTAACTAATTACTAAGCACAATAATATTTTATCTTTATCATGACGTATCTTTATCATGACATATGCGCAACAAATTTTTAAAGGTATTATCATGTTTTTAGAAATTTTTAAAGATTTCTTATGTTTTTAGAAATTTTAAAAAAGCTTTTTAGGGATCGTCCATAAATTAGGTAATGCAAACTTTCACAGTAAGTAAAACAAAAAAGATCGAAAGTTTTCCGTTTGCGGAGTTTAATTTTAAATTTTAAAGCAAAAATAAAAAATAAAATTTTAAAGTAAAATTATGTTAAGTTTAATGAACAAAAATTAAATTAAAAAAAAAAACCTACAAAAATTAAAAAACAGATATTCAATAATTATAATATTTATGATAATGGTAAAAGAGATTTACATATTTCAAAGATTTATGAAAGTTAAATAAGAAATTCAAATACTTGCCGCGTGCTCATCTACAATGCCTTGTGCATTATAAGTTAAAGGCGTCCGAGTTGGCTCTTATTGATATACGGACTATAATACTATTTTGATGGTTTTCTAAATTCTGTCTTTGTTGCGCACTCGGTTAATATTTAACGGGAGCATTAAATATTAACCGAGTACTAAACTTATTTCTAGAAAACTTGGAAAGTAAGTTGTAAACTTTTAAGAAACTTTAATTTTTCCATATATTAAAATTTATATGATATTTGCATAGACTTTCAATCAAATTTTCTTTTTAAAATTTTTTTATAAAAAAACTGTTAAGACTCTTTCTTGCTATTATCTTGGATTTAATGGCTGCTGCGGGTTTCGTGTAAACATGCACAAATGAGCATTAATACTACTACTAAGTTCAGCAATAATATATAGTGACTATAATATATAATTCAATTTTAAAATATAAAATTTAATGTGTTAATGTGTTGAATAAATAATTTTAGTAATAAAAATTAAGAATGTTTAAAACTGTTTACCTTTATTACACTCATTTCTTATCAAGCTGGATAATTTTTCAGAACATCTTTAATTTTTTTTTTTTAATATAACATCTTCACTTCCAACAAGGCTGCATGCAACCACCAGTAGAGTTGAAAGTTACTGGAAGAAAAAAGATGAAGTTTTTAAAGCAAGATAACAATTAGCAGACAATTTAAAAGATTGCAAATTATATGAATCAGAAAAACAACAAGGCAGGAGCGAATTCGAATTCTATGGGAAAAAAACAAGACAAATAAGAATTTTCACAGCGCTTAGAAACAGTCACAGTAAAAGGACAACACTTAATTGAATGACAATAGACACAAGAATGAATTTTAGTAGATGGCACAAGAGACGCTTTTTAGAGCTGCATCCATTATAGTTCAGTAATAAAATATAGTGATTATAATATATAATTCAATTTGTTAATGTAAAATTTAATGTGTAATGCACCTATTATAGTATTTATAGAAAAGAGAAAGAGAAGCAACATTACAATGATGTGACAATAATTGTCCAACTATGTTTACAATACGTTTTTGCAACTTGGCTAAAAGAGAAAGGGTATCGTTCAAAGATCCCCACCAGATATGGCAACAGTATTCCATAAAAGTATGGATTTGATATTTATAGAGATAAAGAATCTGAAGTAAAAATATGGCAAGTCCAATAAAGAGATGCAACCTTAGCAGATACTAGTTTTTCAATGGATTTAATATATGGTTTTCAAGAAAAATTGGAAGTTATAGTTATTCCTAAAAGACGAAGGATAAATGACTCATTGAGTACATTATCGTTCATAAATATAAGTAGATCTAGATTGTCAAGAATAAATGGTAGTATCATCATCGAACGATACTACATTAGATGTGAGAATTTCAGGGAGATCTTGAATATAATTTTAAAAATGTATGGCTTTCTGTCACCAACTTTTATCAAACTATCTCAGTTATAAATATTACTTTTTTATTAATGTAATAAAATAGTAATATTTATAACTGAGCTACTTAAATATAGTTTCATTACACTTCACTGATTGCATATATTTTCCATTTAAAAAAAACAATATCAAAATAAACCACAATAATTTTTTTCTAATTAAATTATACAGATTATACCATATTACTATATTATATTTTGTCATTTAATTTATTGTAAAGTGCAACCACTTGATCCTCTGTTTCCAGTACTTAACAGTTTCACCCCAGTTGCATCAAACCTCAATTTTACAGCCTCCTTTAAAATGGTTTATACCTAAGTCAGTTATTTAAAAAAAAGGTGTTGCGTCTCTATAAAGAACTGTGTACATGTAGAAGAAGGTAGTCAATATTTAGCTTAAGAAACTAAATAGCATAAAGTCCTATTATTTGTAAGATTCAGGGTTTGTTTAGACACATACACCAACCTAATATTAAAGCAACTGGTGTGAATGAATAAAAATTTTATAAAAAAACATGACATTTTTTTGACATTTACTCTCAGTAGTTGCATCAATATTTTTGAAAACTTTTTATATCAGTAATAACTTCTTGTGTAGAATAAGCATCGGTGCAAGAGACAGAAATCTAACTAATCTAATCTAGACTGTAAGTATTTAAGAGTTAACATGCTGGAATGAAAACTAACATATGATTGTTCTATCAAATTTTATTCAGCTTTAAAAAGTTAACAACTTAATCACATATTAATCAGCATTGACCTAACATTGTTAATAAATTCCTTTTATTTTTCTTTGGGATTGGCTCAAGAGCAATCATCGATCTTTCCTTGTGTAGTTTCGAAATCAAAGAAATTTTGATAACTATTCACACTCTAAAGATTTAGATACAGAACAAAAAACATACAGATTTCAGAAAAATAATGTTGACATTTATATAAAATACCAATATAAATAAAAATACCAATATAAATTAATATAAATGCCTTTTTTAATTTAGATAAAACAACTCACAGTAAAGCCTAAAGATCTTTGATATGAGAAATTCTACTTTGTTATATTGCATTCAACAATAAAATGAGATGGAGAAACTGCTTCTGTTTCTGAAACAACTTTGTTCAAAATAGATAATTATTCTGAATTAGTGAAATAAGACAAAGAATTCCACAATGGATCATTCACTTTACCAAAATTCACTTTTATTATTATGTAAAACCAATTTAACAATATAAATTATAGCGGAAGACTAGACCTCAATAAAAAACAATATCTCACTAAGTTAATATACATATATAAGATATATTATTACACACCTTATACTAATAGTTCAAGGTGTATATTAATGTATTATACTAATAGTGTAAGGTAGTATAATACGTACCTTTTAGATGTATATATTGCATTTTTTTTATGCATCTAAAACGATGCATCGTTATCAAATATTTATTTTGCATATAAGATGCATATAAATTTCTTATCTAATATATAATATATTCTATAATAAAAGCTATGTTTAATATTTATTCCTTTCTTGAAGTAAGTTTTCGCTATCCTGACACTGTTTTAAGTGGCGGTCATTTATAACTATCGCACCGTAAAATCATTTTGTCATGAGTTTAAACATTTTTCTTTCTGTTATAACAAATCTATAAATGATCATCTAAGTTTATATGAAAAAAATTTATCTATGCAAGAGTCTATTTTATGCATCTCACATGCATAAAATAGTATCTCTCTAATCCAGTGCCATGGCTAGTGGGCACTTCCCTCCCTCCACCTCACCCTCTAGTTGTGGGGTATGGGTAGACAAGCCATGGCTCTGCTCTAAGCAGGTCTTTTCGATCTCTAATATGCATTCAAAATATAGGTATCTATGATTGATGCAAATTAGACCAATTTTAGATGGTCTGAAAATAATTGTAAATTACTTTTTTGTTATGATTAGAAATAGCAGCTGCCCAAGGTAAAAACCATGGAGAAGAATGAGACTTGAAACCAACAAGAAAAAATAAAAACTTTTATACCTGTTTAGATCCAGGAGGTTACATAGGAAACACATTTATCAGCAGAAAGACAAAAGACATTACAAAGAGAAATATGACATCATCAAAGGGCATCACAAAGAGAACCATGAAAACAATCCCAGTCAGTTTTAGGGTAGTAGTAAGTAGTATAGAAATTATTGCGTGGTCAGAACCACCTAAAAAAGAACAAGGAAAAACTAAACACAATCTAGGGTCCGTGAAAAGATATAAATCAAAGAATGATGGTACATGGCTTGTCTGGAAAACAAGTCATAATGTTAACTATCTGAGTAATATATGACTATAAGTAAATGTGGTAATGGTGTAGTGGTAGTGTGCTTGCTTTATGAGTGAGAAGTTTCGAATTTGGAGTTTAGGGCCACAAATTTATCAGAAATTTTCAAAATGTCTTATGACTTTGTGACAATACCACATTGGTAAAAAAGGGTTGTCGATGTAGCTTTAACAATGCACGTCAGGGAATGATATTTATATATTTATATATAGCAGGAATAAACTTATTTTAAATATTTTATGTTTGAGTTAATATCATTTTTAGCTAGCAAGGGCTGTCGGTAACAGTGGGTTTAACGAAATCATGGAGGCAGAATTAGACCCAAAGTTTAAACCAAATTCGTCCAGTAACATGTAAGTTTGTTTTTTATATTTTAATTATAATATTAGTTTTATTAAAAGTAAAGCTGTTATAAGAAACATTTTAAAAAGCAAACACTGATTTAAAAAGTTTCATTAAAAAAATGAGACTTTATTATTATGATAATATTGATAATATGATATTGTATAAAACAAAGTATTATATGGTGTTATTGTTGCTTTTAAATAAAGAAACTTTGAATAAGTTGTTTCTTGTGAAAATGAAAAGTGCCCTACAATGCTTGAAAGTTGATTAGTTGGGAAAATAACTCAAATTGCATAATTGTTTCTCATTTTTACATCCTTCTTTTATCCCTTTTATTCTCTGGATCTGGTTTTCAGCCATTATTAAAAATGATTTTCTAGGTTTGCAAATACTAGGACAAAAAACATAACTTTTTTGAGAGAAGTTAACCAGCGACTAGTTTATTTATATATACATATAAATAAACTTATTGCTGGTTTACTTATTATTGACCTGTTTTAAATTTTATGAGTTTTATGAATCACTAACTTGAAAAAGGGGACATGCAAAAAATCATGCAAAAATTCACTTAACATGTCCCCTTTTTCAATTTAGCGATGATATTTGTAGGGTATGGATTATCATTTAACTGTCACAATTTAATTATGACTACAAAGGAAGGTGTTCGTGCTAATATTGAACTTTTATGGGAGGATGGTGCAAGTGACCGTCAGATATCAGCAAGATTGCGAATGGCAAAATCTTCTGTTCATGATATTATACAACTAATCAAAGACACGGGATCCACTGCGCCCAGAAAATGTTTTGGTAAAGCTAGAATTACTAACAAACAAACAGACAATATGATACGCAGGGCTGCTGTGAGAGATCCGACAATATCCAGCACACAAATCAGGGCAGATCTACCTAATGACGTTACAGTCAGCACTCGAACAATTAGAAGACGTTTATTGAAAGATGCAAGCCTACGTTCTCATCGTCCAGCCCTCAAACCGTGACTGTCTTTAAAGAACATCCGTGATAGGATCGCATTTTGTAGAGCTCACAGACACTGGTCAATAACCAAATGGCGCCAGGTAATGTTCAGCGACGAGTCACAAATAAAGCAATTTGCTCCGCATAAGTCATTAGTTCGTTGCCCCCCTAATCAGCGTTTTAATGCAAGGTATACCTTACCAGCTGTCAAGCAATATCCTTCAATCATGGTGTGGGGCGCAATAGCTTCATCTGGTTGATGTGGTATTTATTAAATGCAGAAAGGACAGACTGTTAACTCCCAACAATATCTAAAAATCCTTCAAGAAAAGGTTCCAAATTTGATGGAAATTCATCGTTGCGAGATATTCCAGCATGATGGTGCACTGTGTCACCAATCTCATCTTGTAAAATCTTGGTTAGAGGATCACAACGTTCAGGTTCTGGGTCCTTGGCCGGGATCATCTCCAGACTTGAACTCAATCGAAAATTGCTGGGTCAAGTTAAAGTCAGCAGTATCCAGAACTAATCCTACATCACTGGACGATCTAGCCCACAAAATTCGTCAAGCTTGGATTACTGAAATAACGCCAGAATATTGTCAGGCTCTTGTGGATTCAATGCCAGATCACATTAATGCAGTCTTAAAAGCACATGGTGGTGCCACTAAATATTAAATTCATTGAACCTGAGAGTAAAAAACATTAATATAAACATTAAATATGTACGATATGTTACATTATAATCATTAATTGCTACTGTTATTCTTTTATTGCTATAATACAATTGTTTATTACTACATTAAATTAGTTTTAAGTAAAATGATACTGGTGGTCGGAATTCAATGGCCATAACTGTATATATATATATATATATATATATATATATATATATATATATATATATATATATATATATATATATATATATATATATATATATATATATATATATGTATATGTATATGTATATGTATATGTATATATATATATATATATATATATATATATATATATATATATATATATATATATATATTCATTTAATATGGGCATAAATATGAGCAATTCCAAGAGAAAGAAGGGAAAAAAAAGAAAAAAAAAAGTTATAAAAAGTTGACAAAAAAAAAAACATAAAAATGCTGGTAAAACTTTAAGTAAAAACTATGAAACTCAGCATATAATAACATCAATATGTGCTAATTACGCACACCAAATTATTTTTTTTTACAGTTCGCTGCATTAATTCTTACAAAGTTGTTTTGTTTAAAAGTGGTAAAAAGTAATCAGTACAAACATCATGCTGCGTAGAGTTGATTTTGGAAAAAATTAAGACTTCAATGCTGTAAAATTTTGCATACGAAATTTCTTGAAAGTTTCAAGTCATTTCCATTTTAAGGTCATTTTTAATCGCTAAGAGAATGTCAAATGTTACAACTGTCACTCTCATGGAATCGCCCTTGAAACAGCCCTCAGAATTAGGGTCGCTATTCTGCAAAACTAACCTAACTGCTGACCTAAAAGTTTTTGAAATCAGCAAAAAATTGCCTGCCTTATTTCTATGTTTTATGGTAACCTCTTTGTGTCAAATTTATTTTTGCTGATCTGATGCTGACCTCTTACAGTTTGAGATCAGCAATTTATTGCCTCTTTTTTCTTTTTTTAATAGCTAAATTTAATAATGTAAAATATATATGATATGTATATGATCATAAGTGGCACTGAATTGGTTGAAACCCATTTATTTTGTTCAGTATGGTTATTTTTAAGCAGTTAGGTTATAAATATGAAGTGTTGTGAATATTAAACCATCTTTTATTTTTTTTTGCCGACTGCTTTTTATTTGGAGCTATAGTTGTTGTTATGTTAAATATTTTTTATTTATACTTTTTAGGGAAACTCGAAAAGAGTTTATTCAGCAAAAATATGTGCAAAAACGGTTTATACATGCATCTGGCAATCCTCCTCAAGCATTACTAGAGGTATATTTTTTTCTGGTGTTGACATTTTATTTATATTTTTAATATTGCATATTTTGTTTAAATATCATTATTATTATCATCATTGTTGTCATTCATTTTTCATAATGATGAAAACATTTAAATAATAAATCTGTGATGTTAATCCTTATACCAATAAATATATATTTTTTTCTTGTCCTTGAAGGCCTGGTTTATGCTCATGAATTTTATAATATAGTTTTCAACATGAACTTGTGAAAATATGTTTTTATTGAAGTTTCTGTTGCCATAACAATCCTCCCTCCCCCCTCCCCCCTCTTTACTTACCCCTAGATCTCATGTAAATGAAAAAATATTATAACTTTCTGTGCAAAATAAGTTTTGATCTAGTAATTAATTAAATCAAAACTAAAAAAAAAATTTATTGATAGAAAATATTTTTTGAAATTTTTTCAAATATAAAAATTCTATAATTGTCTATTTTAAATGCATGTTTAAAAGTTTTATTAGATATAATGTTTAACAAAGAATTAAAAATATTTTTACCATTTTTGTTTTTTAGGAGCTGATGCAAGCTATAGAATATCATGATATTTTAGCAATATTGCAGCTTTATGCAGAAGGTGTTGATTTTTCTCTATCTCTTGCTGATTGTGTAAGGACTTTTTATAGTTACAAGTTAATAATAAGCAAATTGATCATTTTAGCGTCTATTTTAAATGTAAATATCTTTAAATTGATGAAAGGATACTTGAGTTTTGCATCCTTATGATTTTTTTTTATCTTTGTAATATTTAGCATGATTTGATCTCTTTTTAAAATTTCAACTACTTGCTATTCCAATAATAATATATTTATACACTAAATCGTGTATTGATATTTACTCCAATAATAATATATTTATACACTAAATCGTGTATTGATATTTACTCCAATAATAATATATTTATACACTAAATCGTGTATTGATATTTACTCCAATAATAATATATTTATACACTAAATCGTGTATTGATATTTACTCCAATAATAATATATTTATACACTAAATCGTGTATTGATATTTACTCCAATAATAATATATTTATACACTAAACGTGTATTGATATTTACTCCAATAATATTATATTTATACACTAAACGTGTATTGATATTTACTCCAATAATATTATATTTATACACTAAACGTGTATTGATATTTACTCCAATAATAATATATTTATACACTAAACGTGTATTGATATTTACTCCAATAATAATATATTTATACACTAAACGTGTATTGATATTTACTCCAATAATAATATATTTATACACTAAATCGTGTATTGATATTTACTCCAATAATAATATATTTATACACTAAATCGTGTATTGATATTTACTCCAATAATAATATATTTATACACTAAATCGTGTATTGATATTTACTCCAATAATAATATATTTATACACTAAATCGTGTATTGATATTTACTCCAATAATAATATATTTATACACTAAATCGTGTATTGATATTTACTCCAATAATAATATATTTATACACTAAATCGTGTATTGATATTTACTCCAATAATAATATATTTATACACTAAATCGTGTATTGATATTTACTCCAATAATAATATATTTATACACTAAATCGTGTATTGATATTTACTCCAATAATAATATATTTATACACTAAATCGTGTATTGATATTTACTCCAATAATAATATATTTATACACTAAATCGTGTATTGATATTTACTCCAATAATAATATATTTATACACTAAATCGTGTATTGATATTTACTCCAATAATATTATATTTATACACTAAACGTGTATTGATATTTACTCCAATAATAATATATTTATACACTAAACGTGTATTGATATTTACTCCAATAATAATATATTTATACACTAAACGTGTATTGATATTTACTCCAATAATAATATATTTATACACTAAATCGTGTATTGATATTTACTCCAATAATAATATATTTATACACTAAATCGTGTATTGATATTTACTCCAATAATAATATATTTATACACTAAACGTGTATTGATATTTACTCCAATAATAATATATTTATACACTAAATCGTGTATTGATATTTACTCCAATAATAATATATTTATACACTAAATCGTGTATTGATATTTACTCCAATAATAATATATTTATACACTAAATCGTGTATTGATATTTACTCCAATAATAATATATTTATACACTAAATCGTGTATTGATATTTACTCCAATAATAATATATTTATACACTAAATCGTGTATTGATATTTACTCCAATAATAATATATTTATACACTAAATCGTGTATTGATATTTACTCCAATAATAATATATTTATACACTAAATCGTGTATTGATATTTACTCCAATAATAATATATTTATACACTAAATCGTGTATTGATATTTACTCCAATAATAATATATTTATACACTAAATCGTGTATTGATATTTACTCCAATAATAATATATTTATACACTAAATCGTGTATTGATATTTACTCCAATAATAATATATTTATACACTAAATCGTGTATTGATATTTACTCCAATAATAATATATTTATACACTAAATCGTGTATTGATATTTACTCCAATAATAATATATTTATACACTAAACGTGTATTGATATTTACTCCAATAATAATATATTTATACACTAAACGTGTATTGATATTTACTCCAATAATAATATATTTATACACTAAACGTGTATTGATATTTACTCCAATAATAATATATTTATACACTAAACGTGTATTGATATTTACTCCAATAATAATATATTTATACACTAAATCGTGTATTGATATTTACTCCAATAATAATATATTTATACACTAAATCGTGTATTGATATTTACTCCAATAATAATATATTTATACACTAAATCGTGTATTGATATTTACTCCAATAATAATATATTTATACACTAAATCGTGTATTGATATTTACTCCAATAATAATATATTTATACACTAAATCGTGTATTGATATTTACTCCAATAATAATATATTTATACACTAAATCGTGTATTGATATTTACTCCAATAATAATATATTTATACACTAAATCGTGTATTGATATTTACTCCAATAATAATACTAGGTTGGTTGAAAAGTTCGCGGAGCGGCACCTATGTTGCAGTTGTAGAAACAAATTTATAACTGTATTAAACGTATTTATTCTTCGTATGAACGCATAAAAAATTTCAAGTCGATATGTCATTTCAGTCTTTGTTTCCAAGCTATTGAAATTAGACGTGTCATAGTATTTTTTAAAATGGAAAATATTGAACATCGTGCTGTAATCAAATTCTTTGTGAAAAAAGGTTTAAAGCCCATGGAAATTCATAATGAAATGGTAAATGTGTTGGGTGATGATGCTCCTTCAAAAACAACAGTATGCAAATGGGCTGCGGAGTTTCAACGTGGGCGTTCAAGCCTTGAAGATGAGCCTCGATCTGGACGTCCAAAAAGTGCTACTACTGAAGAAACGATTAATGCTGTGCATGACATGGTTATGGATGATAGACGATTGACCAAACGTGAAATTGCTGAGGCTGTGGGCATCTCAGATGAACGGGTATTACACATCTTGCACGATGAATTACGTCTGAGAAAGCTGTTGGCAAGATGGGTGCCGCATTCGCTAACTCTGGATCAGAAACGCACTCGAGTAAAACTTTCTCAAGAACATTTGGCCCGTTTTCAAAAGAATAAAACAGATTTTGTGCGTCGATTCGTAACCATGGATGAGACTTGGGTTTACCACTATGATCCGAAGCTGCGACAACAAACTGCAGAGTGGACAGAACCCGGTTGTTCAGCTCCGAAGCAAGTGAAGGCGTCAAAATCGTCAAAGAAGGTTATGGCATCAGTTTTTTGGGATGCGAAAGGAATTTTATTAATAGATTACCTTCAAACCGGTAAAACGATAACAGGTGAATATTATAAAAATCTTTTGGACCAGTTGGATAAAAAAATTCGTGAGAAAAGACCTGGTTTGCTGTATAAAAAAATCATTTATCACCAGGACAACGCACCTGCTCATATCAGCGATGTTGCAAAGGCGAAATTGGTCGAATTAAAGTACGAACGCTTGGAACATCCACCCTATTCACCAGATCTGGCTCCGTCCGACTTCCACCTCTTTCCACATCTCAAAAAATTTCTACGTGGAAAGCGTTTCTCATCACATGAAGAAGTCATTGCAGCCGTAAATGGGTATTTTGAAGGCCTTCCGGAATCGCACTTCAGAGATGGGATACATGAATTGGAGAATCGTTGGAAAAAGTGTATTGCTCTTAAGGGAGAATATACTGAAGAATAAAGTCATTTTTTGAATCATAAAATTGTTTTTTCATTTCCGCTCCGCGAACTTTTCAACCAACCTAGTATATTTATACACTAAATCGTGTATTGATATTTACTCCAATAATAATATATTTATACACTAAATCGTGTATTGATATTTACTCCAATAATAATATATTTATACACTAAATCGTGTATTGATATTTACTCCAATAATAATATATTTATACACTAAATCGTGTATTGATATTTACTCCAATAATAATATATTTATACACTAAACGTGTTTTGATATTTACTCCAATAATAATATATTTATACACTAAACGTGTTTTGATATTTACTCCAATAATAATATATTTATACACTAAACGTGTATTGATATTTACTCCAATAATAATATATTTATACACTAAACGTGTATTGATATTTACTCCAATAATATTATATTTATACACTAAACGTGTATTGATATTTACTCCAATAATAATATATTTATACACTAAACGTGTATTGATATTTACTCCAATAATAATATATTTATACACTAAACGTGTATTGATATTTACTCCAATAATAATATATTTATACACTAAACGTGTATTGATATTTACTCCAATAATAATATATTTATACACTAAATCGTGTATTGATATTTACTCCAATAATAATATATTTATACACTAAACGTGTATTGATATTTACTCCAATAATAATATATTTATACACTAAACGTGTATTGATATTTACTCCAATAATAATATATTTATACACTAAACGTGTATTGATATTTACTCCAATAATATTATATTTATACACTAAACGTGTATTGATATTTACTCCAATAATAATATATTTATACACTAAACGTGTATTGATATTTACTCCAATAATAATATATTTATACACTAAATCGTGTATTGATATTTACTCCAATAATAATATATTTATACACTAAATCGTGTATTGATATTTACTCCAATAATAATATATTTATACACTAAATCGTGTATTGATATTTACTCCAATAATAATATATTTATACACTAAATCGTGTATTGATATTTACTCCAATAATAATATATTTATACACTAAATCGTGTATTGATATTTACTCCAATAATAATATATTTATACACTAAATCGTGTATTGATATTTACTCCAATAATAATATATTTATACACTAAATCGTGTATTGATATTTACTCCAATAATAATATATTTATACACTAAATCGTGTATTGATATTTACTCCAATAATAATATATTTATACACTAAATCGTGTATTGATATTTACTCCAATAATAATATATTTATACACTAAATCGTTTATTGATATTTACTCCAATAATAATATATTTATACACTAAATCGTGTATTGATATTTACTCCAATAATAATATATTTATACACTAAATCGTGTATTGATATTTACTCCAATAATAATATATTTATACACTAAATCGTGTATTGATATTTACTCCAATAATAATATATTTATACACTAAATCGTGTATTGATATTTACTCCAATAATAATATATTTATACACTAAACGTGTATTGATATTTACTCCAATAATAATATATTTATACACTAAACGTGTTTTGATATTTACTCCAATAATAATATATTTATACACTAAACGTGTATTGATATTTACTCCAATAATAATATATTTATACACTAAACGTGTATTGATATTTACTTCAATAATATTATATTTATACACTAAACGTGTATTGATATTTACTCCAATAATAATATATTTATACACTAAACGTGTATTGATATTTACTCCAATAATAATATATTTATACACTAAATCGTGTATTGATATTTACTCCAATAATAATATATTTATACACTAAACGTGTATTGATATTTACTCCAATAATAATATATTTATACACTAAATGTGTATTGATATTTACTCCAATAATAATATATTTATACACTAAACGTGTTTTGATATTTACTCCAATAATAATATATTTATACACTAAACGTGTTTTGATATTTACTCCAATAATAATATATTTATACACTAAACGTTTATTGATATTTACTCCAATAATAATATATTTATACACTAAACGTGTATTGATATTTACTCCAATAATATTATATTTATACACTAAACGTGTATTGATATTTACTCCAATAATAATATATTTATACACTAAACGTGTATTGATATTTACTCCAATAATAATATATTTATACACTAAATCGTGTATTGATATTTACTCCAATAATAATATATTTATACACTAAACGTGTATTGATATTTACTCCAATAATAATATATTTATACACTAAATCGTGTATTGATATTTACTCCAATAATAATATATTTATACACTAAACGTGTATTGATATTTACTCCAATAATAATATATTTATACACTAAACGTGTATTGATATTTACTCCAATAATAATATATTTATACACTAAACGTGTATTGATATTTACTCCAATAATATTATATTTATACACTAAACGTGTATTGATATTTACTCCAATAATAATATATTTATACACTAAACGTGTATTGATATTTACTCCAATAGTCTTTATTTACAAATTGTAGTTTTTAAAACACTGATATAATTATCTTGATCACATTTTGCTACTTTAGTTGTGGAATTTTCTGGCTAGTTCCAGTTTGCACTAGTTGTAGAAAGTTTGTATATTATTTTATTATAGTCATCTAATTTGTAATTCATCCTGATTTATTATAATTATTCTGGTAAAGAATATGTTTTTTTAAAGCTATCAGTTTTTCCAATATGGAAAATGCCTTTTTTTTTTTTAATATTCATCATACAATAAACATAAAATTTGAAACATGGTTTTTGACACTAATTTGTATGGAGTTAACCTATAATATTTCCTCTTTTATTCTATATCTTTTTGATATTTCTTTTATTTTTTTTAAAGCCAAACAATGGTACAGCACTCCACTACTGCATAGAAACGGAAGATTTGACTTCACTTCATATTGTGGATTTTATTATTCAAAACTGGTTTGTAATTTTTTGTTGTTGTTGTTGTATGTTTTTTTTAGTAAATTTAGTAAAATTTTATAAAATGATAACAAAAAGTTCATTTTTGTTAAACTTGATTACTTTATCTTCTCTTATCATTCTTACTTTTAATTATTTTCCTAGCATCATCCATTACTTTTAATATTCTTCCTAGCATCATCCATTACTTTTAATATTCTTCCTAGCATCATCCATTACTTTTAATTATCTTCCTAACATCATCCATTATTTTTAATTATCTTCCTAGCATCATCCATTGGTCATAATCTCCAAACTGCTTGTTAGTTTTTAATGTTAATTTTTAATGTCCATATGTTAAAAATTATGAAGCAATTTTAACTTTTTATCCATTTTGGTGTGTTTAAAAAAAATTTAGTTAATAATTTGAATGTATTTATAATAGTTAAATAAACCAAATGTATGAACACCAACTACAAGATAAATAAAATGAGCTGGTTTTTAACAAGTTTGCTATAAAAATTGGTGGTGGTTGTACATATTTAGGAATATAAATATAAAAAAAAGCAGTCTTGTTAGAATACTTAATGTTTTGTAGAAAATCATTTGATTAAAGAATAATGCAGCAAGTGAAAATCATTTAATTAGACAAGTTGTTAACTGGAGTCTAAAAGTTTAAGATTAAAAATCTGCAAGATTTTAACAAATATATATAATTAAGATATATTTTAATAAATATATATAATTAAGATATATTTTAATATTTCTATTTTAATCATTTTTATATTTTACTTCTATTTCATTAGATAATTATTTAAATCAAATGATTAGATGTAATTGATAAGAAAATTACTCAAAATTCATACTAGCAAAATATTTTGAAATGACATGAAGTGATGTGGTGACATAACATGAAGTAACGTGATATAATGTGACATAAAGTGATGTGACGTGATGTGACATGAGGTGACATAAAGTGACAAAATGATCTTTTTGAGTATTTTTCTTATATTCTTATATATATTCTTTTAAACTTTTTTTATGTTTTAAAGTAATGACACTGTTTATGTGAAATTGATCACTATATGTTTATTCACTTTACGCATCACTAGGTTTTAAGAGTCAATTGTAAAATATTACTAAGAAGATATTTATAAAAAATATTTTTTAAAAATTAATATTTATTAGTTCTAAAATTCATATTGTTAGTAATTGTTATTTTAGCAAGAATACTAATATCCAAGACACCCTAGGAAATACTCCACTTCATCTTAGTGTAACACGCAATAATATTGAGTGCACAAAGTTGCTAATTAGAGCTGGAACACAACTGGATGTTGGTAAGTAAACTAATATCTTGGTTTTATCAAAATCAATATTTATAGAATTTTATATTTACAATATTCCTAGAATTTTCTTTTCTGCTGTTAATGCTTTAAAAAAGATTCAAGACAAAGTTTTAATTAAAAAAAGTACATTTATATCGGGTGGACACGGAAAAATCCGGTCATCTTTAAATTGAGATTTCTCCAAAACCACAAATGCTTTTTATTTAGTTTTTTATTTAATTAAAGCTTACTTCCTTATCTTAAATGGTGTTGATAAATTTTTTTTTACAAATTAATGATTTGCAAAATGTTTTGGAAACAAGTTGAGGTGCCTAAAAAAGTTGTGAATTTTTTTTGCAAAAATCCATCGACTTTCTATCGCTTGATTGCTAAACGCACAAATGCTAATTTAGAAATCAATTGTATATATGGTTTCCATGAAAGGTCAGTAGTAAGCGATAATCCAAGAAGACGTAAAGAGGAGGACTCAGTAAGAGGATTGCCATTCATTAATATAGGAATGTTGACCATATTACAGTAGTTGTTTGCAGTAAACAACTGGGTTTTGTTAGAGTTGAAATTCACAAGCCACTGTGAACCTTAATCTATTACTGAAGCTCTACATGCAGTTTACATATCTATTTTAATGAAAATAATAAAATACTTTTAGAGCTATTTAATTGTTATTATGAAATAATAAGAAATTGTTAGGAAAAGAAATAATAAATATTGATGCAGTATAAAACTAATTTTTAATGTAAAAAATTGGATAAAAGAAACTAATATAAATAATATGTGTTTAAAAAGCAGACAATGGCTTTAAGCAGACCAGACCAATGGCTTTAAACTTCAGTGAAATTCATTCAAAACTTATTAAAAGTACATTTTTCTTCAAAAATTCATGGCTGGTTTTTTTTTGGCCCTGACTGTACATACATACATACATACATACATACATACATACATACATACATACATACATACATACATACATACATACATACATACATACATACATACATACATACATTTATACATACATACATACATACATACATACATACATACATACATACATACATACACACATACATACATACATACATACATACATACATACATACATACATACATACATACATACATACATACATACATACATACATACATACATACATACATACATACATACTCATAGGGAGCTGCTAAATATGATACATTGTTTCAAAATTTATAACTTTTATGGTAATATTGGTAATTTTAATAATAGTAATTTTTGATTTTAGCAAATAAAGCAGGAAAGACAGCATTGGTTATTGCACAAGAGAAAAACAATTCAGAAATTATTCAATTGGTATTTACATTCTAGTTTCGGTTTTCTCATAAATCCATTAATGTAATAATAATAATTTCAAAAATAATGAGTTTTATGTATGAATATAGTTGCAAGAGGCAAAAGAAGGTCAAACAAGTAAATGTGAACATGTAAAAATAGATTGGGGTATTAGTGAGGTACATTTATTTTTAAATATTTTATATAGTTCTATACATTTACAAAATTTTAATCAAATAACTTTTTACAGACAGAAGATATCTATTCTACACCACTTGATATTTATGAGTTGAAGCAAGAACTAAAAAGTGATGTGAGTTGTTGACACACAGTCTGTTCTATTTTTTTGACAAACGCATTTTAAGTAATAGTTAGAATAAATGTGATTCAAATAGATTCATATCTAGGTATCATCAGCTTTATCTTCTCCTAACACTACTGCACTAGGGCCGATTTTGCGTTCACAATCAACACCACGAAGTGGTCTAAAAACAACTGGTTACCCTACACCTGCTACAAGTGTGACATCATCAGGACAGTCGATGAGACATAGTGTAGCTCTTCCTTCAGCAATACAAGTACTTTTATTTATTTATTTTTGCATTTAATATTTGTATAAGTCCTTTTAATTGTTTACATACATGTAAATATGTGTATCTATAAGTCCCTTCAATTATTACTCATGTAAATATTTATAAGTCCTTTCAATTCTTTACACACATGTTAGTCTGTGTAAGTTCCTTTTAATTGTTTATACAATTAAATGTAAATTTGTATATGTATATATCTCTTCAATTGTTTACACACATGAAATATTTTGATGGTCTTCAAGGTTTTACCATCTGATAAGCTTGTTCCTCCTCCTCCAGCAAGGAAAAGTACCAAGACAGCACCAACCACAGAGTCTCTTTCTACATTATCTTCAAATGTACCTGTATTAAATACATTTGCACCTAAATCAGCAGTTACTAAAGTTATAGAGAAGAGGTTCAATTTTTTAATCTTTGTTTTATTAGTTTGCATTTTTGTATATACTATTATTTTGTTTGTACTATTTTTGTTTTATAGTTTTTATTACTTTATTATATAGTTTTGTTATTACTAGTTATGTCTTTTTTTTTTGTAATCTTTTATAAATATAAGTTGTTACAATAATTATTTCAGTATTGGGCCTCCAACTCCACCAACTCGTACTTCATCTTTTATTCCGAGAGGCAGTGCAATCGATCAAATGCTTCCTCGACCTGATCGTCCTCCTCCGCCTACACCAATTAAAAGTGGGCATAACAGAAATGTATCTGATGGAAATGTTTTGTATAATGCTGAACAACAAACAAAAGTGCATAGAAACTCAGTAGCTGATTCTTTAAACAATGCCTTTATATCCGATATACCAGTGTAAGAACTGTTTATTTCAATCTCCTTGCATGTCTTTATTCATTTTGTTTGTGATCTCAAATTGTGTATTATTTAAAAAATGATAATTTCCTAGTGACCCATGTGCGCCGCCACTACCTCCGCCACGTCCGAAAGGAAAATCAGAAAACAATCTTACAGGTTATTCAGCTCAATTTTTGACTTTTTTTTTTTAATATGCAAGAAGATAAAAAAACTTTTAAGTTGTTTTTTATCTTCATGCATAAAAAAAGATATAATAAAAGAAAATTTTAGTTTCAGGATCCATAACCCATCGACCCATTCAACAAGATGCCCCAGTTGTGCCAGAACCTCCATTAAGTTCTCCTTCAAAAAATGTTCTGACATCGCAAAACAAGGTAAATTTCAACTAAATTAATATTTGTACATTCTGCAAATTATACATTCTGTATATTTCACTTTTAAACTTCTAGTAAATAAAATTGATAAAAAAATTTAGTTGAATTTTTTTTTAACTTTGTCTTTTCATTTTTTACATACTAAACATTATTTACATACTAAACATTAATTACATACTAAACATTTTTTACATACTAAACATTAAACATATTTTTACATACTATACTATAACATTTATTTTTCTCCCACAGATCAATTTTTTATTTTTATTTTTAAAATGTGTTTAGGAAATAAAAGTGTGTGAAGTGGAGAAATAAAATTTTTTGTGTGAGAAGAAAAAATTGCTTATATGATTACCTGTCATAAAATATAATTTAAAATAAGCGAGATTGGTATAAAAGGAACCATGGAAGAGGGTTTAACTTCCTGGTTAAATCCTCTTCCATGATGCTTTAAGTGTTTAGAAATAATTTCATATATGCTTTCTTAAGTTCAAACTTTTTTCAAGATTTTAAATGACAGGAAATCTTATTGTAACATTTCAATGCAATATGAAAACACACTTTGTGCATGCTCAAAAAACTTTTTAGTGTAGAAATTTCCAAAAAAATATGAATGGAGAATATAATTTAGGCTACCACTATTACACCCTGTACCAAGGCTATCATTGATGAACTATGTACCAATTCAACATTTACAAATCTACAAATGTGTTTGTGTCATAAGTGCATTTAGGATATATGCAAGTAATAAATAATAAAATTATAATAATAATAATAACAATAATAACAATAATAATAATAATAATAATAATAATAATAATGCAATCTGCATTATTTTTTTAAAAATTTTGCTAATATAATTTTAGTTGTACTTAAACAACTGCAGTATACAGAATTAAAACTTTTTTGGGTTGTTTATAATGAATAATTTGAATGAAACAAAAACAATGTCAAACCAGGGAAAACAATTTAGTGTGAAACCAGAATTAAGTTTGAAAACCAAAAATATCTTAAAAACTTGAAAATTCTTTGAAAATGCTTGCATTTTCCTATTGCAGGAGTATACAAAAATATATTATATAACACATATTCCAATGTTTCTAGGAAAGCAAGACAAAATTCCGTCGTGCAAAAGCATTGTATGACTGTGATGCTGATCATGATGACGAATTATCTTTTGTTGAAGGGGAAGTAATTATAATGATTAAGGAAGCTGACCCAGATTGGTGGGTAAGTAAACTTAAATTTTTGCTGATTTGTGACCCATATTAATGTGTAAACATAAATTTTTGCTGATTTATTTGATACTGATTTGAATAAAAAGTTGTTCATTATTATTAAATGATACAAAATATTTTTTCTTACTTGTTCTTACTTTTTTTTATTTTATTAATTAATAACAGTTAATATTGAATATTTGTATTATTAACAGTTAAACTGAATATTTGTTTTTATATTTGTAATAAATTCCTTTGTTATTTATTAAGATTAAGTAAACATTGACAGTTTTTTATTTCCGCATTCTGACAGCCTGAAATATTGATCCAAAATAAAATGATATCTTAAGATGGGACCATAGGGCCTCCATAAAATATTTACACAGTAAAATCACTGATTATATTAACCTTTATACCTAAAATGATGCCTTCCACTTTGCACACATACAGATAATTTGTTACAAAAGTAGGATTTGTCCATAAAACATTTGACATTTTTTTTGTATATAATAAGAACAGATGTTACCAGAGAAATAAAAAAAATAGAAATAAAATTTTTGTAATAAAAACAATTTTAAAAAATTAATGAAAAAATTAAATCTTTTACGTACTTTCTAACATTTTTTTTAAATATTAAAGTACCTAAATGTTAGCATTAAAAATAAGTACCCAGGTTTGTTTCACATGCATGGTTCAATTCTGTTAATGACTAATGGTTCAATTCTGTTTGTAGTATTAAACCACTTTTGTTCTGTTGTTTTTTTGTTGTTTTTTTTTTTTACTAATTTCTTTAACACTTAAAAGTTGGGAGTTACCAGAAAAATAAAAAACATTGTTGCAGTGAAAGAAAATGTATATTCTTTGAGTCAGGAAAAAATGAAGATGGGAGACAGTTTTAAAAGTATTGATGTTGGAGGAATAAAAGTAGATAAAGAAAAGTTTTTTTAAACATAAAGGGAGATATGTAGCAATAGGGTTTGACTTACCTGAATGACACAAAGTTCTGAGTTTGATGAAACAAGAGATGATAGCTTGCTTCAGCAGTGACCATGATAGCATTTGTAGAAAGGAAAGAGATGTAACCTTGTGATGATGAGATAGTGGCTCAAGCTTAGCAGAGCAGGTTTAACTACATTTACAATTTTTTTTTTACCTTGTCTAGAGAACGGGCATTATTTGAAGAACCACCCCAAATATGGTAACAGTCTTTCATCATGGAAAAGAGATTTGTAGAGGTAAAGGATGGAATTAAGTAAAGAAATGGTGAGCACAGTAAAGAGAGGTAGCCTTACTAGATGCTATCTTTGCAATGGATTGTATATAAGGTTTCCATGAAAAGTCTGTATTGAATGATAAGATGTAATGTAAAAGACTGAAAAAGAGTATTGTCACTTATATCATTCCACTCATGTCATATCAACAATATTCCACCAAATTTTAGCACATTTTATTTGAGTTATGATTCACAAGCCACTGCAAGCCCGAGCTGTCACAAAAGAGAGATCAGATTCAAAATCAGCTGCCTATTATAACCAATCAAAAATATTTTTTGGCAACACAACCACCTTCTGTTAACTCTTATATATTCAGAGCCATTTTTAGCACTCTGGATTACGTCGAAAACGGTTTTTTTAGGATTTTGTACAAAGCTTTTTTGAAAAACATAATATATATAAAGAGTATTAAATTTGTTGGTGTACCATTTTTTTTGTCTTTTCACGCTTTTTTATTGAACACCCATTCAGAAATAACATATATATTAGTTTGTTATTTTTTATTAATTTTTAAAATTTTGTTATTTTAACCAAATTATATATCATTTTCGTAAATACCCGTCTTGAAAAAGTTTAGTTTTTTCATTAATTTTTTTTGAAATTCAGTTTTCAAAAGACAAGCAGTAAATAGTGAACAGTGCTGTCAAATAATTCTGAAATTAATTACTGGCAGTGTAAGCAGAGAAAAAACTTGAATGAAATAGGTATATGTTAGAAGTGTTTTGCTAGTATGCTAAAAACAATTTAAATAAGTAATATTTATTTCTTGATGGCCTAACTATTCAATTTTTATCAACTATCAACCGGCTAAATTTTGAAAATTTAAAAACTTCAAATATATATTGTTTGTGATAAATTATATGTTTCTTGATAAATGGTGATCTTTTTTATCCCTAGCAACACCTTAGCAACCGTGCCTTGTTTCGTCTGCCTATAATATGCCCTAAAAGTTTTAATTTGATCTGTAAGATTCACTCTCTGGTTGTTCTACCTTGTTTTATGGTACTCTGTTGTCTACAAGCCTTTTTAAGTTTTCTCAGAAATAAATTTTTAAAACTTTTATTCGACCTATTTACTTGAAATTTTCACAACACTATCTTCAATATTGGAACTAAAAATAACTATATGGAGCAAACAGATCTTATGTAATTGTATTTTTATTTTTTTTAATATCCTTTTAAATTTTTTTTTTTTTTAAATCCTTTTTTTTAATATTTTTTAATGCTCAAATAGAATTATCTGACACTATATATTGCTAATGTTTTGAAGATTTTTTATTTCAAACCTCCTTTATTACTTAATCTACATAGCGATAAAAATTTAGTTCAAATACTGCAGACACTCATGTTTGAAGTTTTTAACTTATTAAAGGACTTTTGCTGACGCAAAAATTTTTCTGGAGCAATTTTTAAAAATTTTTGTCAAAAAATTTTTTTTTATTTAATCTACCAACACTAAACCTAGTTTAGAGGAATTATTCTAATATTTAAAGGATTTAGTAGTAATGGGTTTGAGCCATCTTAAAGAATGCCAATCCAAACCAAACCCTTGAATAATGTATGTACACTCCTTTGAGTTTATGGCTTTATTTGTTGATGTATGTACACTCCGCTGCGCCTACGGCTATATCAAATGATGTATTTTCACTTTTATGCATATCTCAAATGAAGTTTTAAAATGTACTAATTATAAATAATATAGTAATTATTAAATAATAATACTTAATACTGATAAAAATATGTATGAAATGATTATTCCAACTTCAGTATTAGTATTTTTATTCTGCAAACGTGTTCGTTTTCAATAATTGGTTGATTTATGTGTCTTAATATATTAGATATAATGATAGTTATAGTGATTCGATATAACACTAATGAACATGGTAAATATATCATGGTATATTTATATAAGCTCAATATTGATTTGTTATTTATCGGATGAATGCTTTTAGGCTGCTAGGGCACAAAAATAAAATTTTACTAAATTTTGATTTTCTTTTTTTACTCCTTTTGTTTACATTGCGATAATATAATTTTTATTGTTTATTTGAGTTTTGTAAAAAATGTTTTTGTTTTTCATAGTATGGTGAAGTTGAAGGAGAACCGCATCGCAATGGCGTTTTTCCGATGAGCTTTGTTTACGTACTCAGCGATTAGTTTAATGAGATTATTTAGTAAAACATTGTATGACTTCTATCAAGTTTGAAGCTGGCCCTGTTTCTTAATTAGTTATATACATACATATGCATACATATATATATATATATATATATATATATATATATATATATATATATATATATATATATATATATATATATATATACACACACACACACACACACACACACACACACACACACACACACACACACACACACACACACACACACACACACACACACACACACACACACACACACACACACACACGAAAAAAAGTTCTATAGAATTTTATATAAACTTTTAAAACATATGGCCTATAAAAATTCTATAGAATTTCTATAGAGTTTCTGTTAATTTCTATAAAAATTCCTATAGAAATTTTTTTTTCTACTTTTTTTTAATAGAAAAAAAAGTTTAATAGCAATTTCTATAGAAATTAATAGACATTCTATGAAATTCTATAGAGTTTCTATAGGCTATATGTTTCAGAAGTTTATAGAAAATCCTATAGGACTTTTTTTCCTGGGCACACATGTATACGTACATATATGCATGCATGCATATAATTGGTTTGTGTACTCAAATATTCCTTTGGTTACAGAAACAAAAAAAAATGTGTTAAACACATCACGAAATGTACAAATTGATTAGAGTCGTAAATTTTTATGTAGTATTTTGCTGCTTGGCATTTTATTCCTTTTTTATACTAACTTGCAATAGTTATATTTTGAAGTATATTCTTTCGATTTAAGCTATGTAGTAAAACAATTTATTTTAAAATAATTTTTTTTTATATATTTAAGGAATTATTATTTTTTTTTAAATCTTGAAGTATAAGGTAAAATGAAGTCATACTGTTTAGACAAAGTCATTGTTTTTCTAACTCTGAATATATTCAAATAAACGATATTTTCTCTTACGCTTGCCTCAAATAGCAAATAAGATATTTTATGTTCACATTAAATCTGATGTTATCTGTTTATATGTATGATATATGTTTTGTCTTTTTTAAAAAGTGACTCCTTATATTGTACCTTAATAGTTTCCGTGTTTTTGTGTAGAAACCTAGCATGAATAAATCTAATGTTAAAAACGATTTTATCAACTCATTAATATAAATTTCATGAGCGACGTGTCAAAACGTGTCTTACTCTTTAATATCAGGAAAATAAAAAATTTGAAGTTTAAACATGTGTTCAAATTTTGTATTGATTAAACTTCCAAAAACATGTCTTGCAAAAGTATGTTGCAGTTAAATTTAGAATGCGAATTAAAGTTTGCAAGACTAAATTCAACAGTTTTTTGTCAATGCTTTAACGCATTTCTTTTTTTTTTAAATTTGTTAATACACAGTGGATCAAACAGTTGTTTTCACGGACATTTGTAATTTTTTTTTTTTTTAATTTTGGAAAGACCAAAAAAAAAAATATGGCGGCAAGACAGTAAACAATTTTTGAAAAAAGAACAAGTTTGAATTTTTTCTTATGGTATTTCGATAATACATAAAATAAATATGTTAGTAAATTTTTGTAAAGTTAATATAATAGTTTCAATGACAAAAATTATTAAAAAAAGTACTTTAAATACGTAATTTATTCATAATTCATTTCAAAATATGTGTCATCTAAGACTTTAATATAAACTCCCATGAATGAACATTTAGTTTGTGCAATGATAATTTTATACTGATCCATGTAAATTTGTTTTTGTAACAGGTGAAAATTCACTGCAATATTAAAAATAAAAGATTTTGAGGGGAAAACACCCATGACAATTGCTAGTATCAACTACATAGCAGATTCTAGGAAATAAGCAAGTTAATAAAAACATATGTATACAGTAAAGTGATTACTAAAACAACATTTTTTTGAATTTTCTACTAGGACACCCCGAAATGTGTTCTACGTAATAAAAAGTAAGTAAAAAGTTTGCGAATAAAATCTTTTTAAGGCGTACTAATATTTTTAAAAACATTTTTCAATCTAGTACTTAAGAGCAGAGATATTTTATAAAACTTTCGAAAATATTAATCATATTTTGTAAAAAAAATATATCCTAAAAAAAATTATTCAAAATTAAAAAAACCGTAAAAAATTTTTACGGCTATTTTTGAGCTATTTTAAAAAATATAACAAAATAATATAATAAAAAAAATTTATGAAATTAAATTTAAACTAACAATATTTATATAAAAAAATTACTATTTTTTAAAATTTTGCTTGTTTTGAGTATCAAGTTGACCTTCTTTTGAAGGACATTTGGAGAAACGAAGACAAAAATTTCATATCGCAAATCCGCGTAGCTAGCATTAAATTAATACCGCGTAGCTAGCATTGAATAATACACTACAATTTTTTTACTGGGAAATGTTAAAACTTTATTATTATTTTTTTTTATTTAAACAAGTTTTAGGTTTATTTTAGCATAGAGAGTTATTCATGTTCTTTGAAATGTCAACAATACATATTTGGTTATAAAATTAATAATTTCGAATTATTCTAGTCAATGCTAGTTACGCGGACTTGCACTATTTCCAACGACTTAACTTTATTTTAGATTTTTATTTGAGAAAACTACTTTTTCTAAGTTTTAATGGCAAATGATACTTTGTCATGAACGTCCTACTTTTTATTTTATTTTATTTTTTTTGAAAATTCACAATTTGTCTATAAATAAAATTAACTAATTGGTTATTTTGTTAATTTCTTAATGCTTAAAGACTCATAATAAAGATAATTGATTTTTAGACAAAAATACTTTCTTGAAATTACACCATCACGTGGTTAAGAAGCAGTTGGTGAACTAAAACGTAATTACTTAATTCAAAATTATATATTTTGTTTGACCCTTTTAACCCAAGTTTCTTTACTACAAAAATTTTTAAAACCATGGTTTTGTTGATGCGATCAAAATTTCGAAAAAATTTTCTTGATGTTTACATTCATAAACAAAATGTAACTTTTTTCCGACAAAGAGATTGAGTTTATTTAAAAGTTGAATTGTACTCGATTTCTTTTTTGATTAAACAAGTTATAATTACTAACATTCTTAGTATTAAAATCGTATGAGAAACTGTTCTTTATTTTAAGTAATATTTCAAACAATTAACAGAGCTGACGATACCGTAGGGGCCGGGGCCTTTTTCTAAATAATGCTAAACGTTTAACAAACTTTGTTAATTTTTTTATGTATGATATATATATATATATATATATATATATATATATATATATATATATATATATATATATATATATATATATATATATACATATATATATATATATATATATATATATATATATATATATATATATATATATATATATATATATATATATATATATATATATATATATATATATATATATATATATATATATATATATATATATATATGTTTTGTCACTCTTTTTTAAAAAGTTTATATTGTACCTTTATAGTATCCGTGTTTTTTTAAAAATTTGTTTAATTTTTTTATTCTGGTGTTGAAGGCAGATGTAACATGTTTTATGTAATAATTTTTAAACCTACCAAATTTTAAAAATTGGTAATATTCCAATTGGTAATATTCCAAGAATTTATAGTAAAGCTCAAAAGAGAACATTTGTTTGCAAAAAATATAAAACATATACGGCAAAAGGTAGAAGGTTGTTTAACGCGGATGCAATCAAGTATTGACTTTAGTTTATGTACAACAAAACTTATAACAAAAAATAATTTTTAAATGAGAAGAACAACAACTTGTTTTGAAGTTTTTACCAGTTGAATTACATAAAGCACAGCTGATACAGTGAGAAACAATTGTTAATCTTTCCATTTAACTTAAATCGCTCATAGATTTCGTTTTTATTTGTCTAAATGTACTTTTGTGTTTTATATTGTTTGAATGAAATAAAGAACATTGAATGAAATAAAGAACATTGAATGAAATGAAGAACATTGAATGAAACAAAAAACATTGAGTGAAATAAAGAATATTTAATCAAATAAAGAATATTGAATGAAATGAAGAACATTGAATGAAATGAAGAACATTGAATGAAATAAAGAACATTGTTAGTAGTGTGCTGCAATAACATATTCATTGATACAATAAATCCATTTATAGATATCATCAAGACCTGCCTATGCCGTTAACATTTACTTAAACTGATTGATTGATTTATAAAAGTTGTAATAGAAGCTTGTAGTACCTGAAGCAAAAGAAACAAAAATAAATTTGAATAACCAAATTGTATGCTAGCTAACTAATAACTGTTGCTTTGAAAAAATTTTTATTACTTAAAAACAATTTTTTTAAAAATTGTTTTTAAGTAATAAAAAGTTAAGTAATAAAAAGTTAAACTTGTTTGCTTTTTTCTAAAAACTAAGTTCAAAATTATTTATTTGTAAATAAATAATTTACAAATAAATAATTTGTAAATAAATAATTTACAAATTATTTATTTGTAAATTATTTATTTACAAATAAATAATTTTGAACTTAGTTTTTAGAAAAAAGCAAACAATTACAAATAACGAAATTAAAGAAAGAAAAAGAACCTAATTTGTTATCAGTATTTTTGGCGTAAAAAAAATTTTTGACCTATTATTTGACCTACTATTTGACCAACTATTTGTTCCTACGGGCCTGGGTATAATAAGATCTACCCAACAACATCTGAAATTTCAATGATGTCTAATAACTTCTTTGTAAAAATTATGTGATTAATAAAAATGTAGTGACATCTTTTCAATTACCTAAGAATAACAACATCTGTGCAACTACATCTGCAGAATTTACAGATTTAATTACAGCTTTTTAATTGAGTTAAGAATAACTGCATCTGTACAACTACATATGTCAATTCTACAGAAATAGTTACATCTTTTCAATTATATTAAATATGACTACAGGATTTTATGAAATTATTAACTTAAAATGCATTATTTTACCCAGATGTAGTTACATATGTGGTTCTTTTTAGATTTAACTTGAGGAAATTTTTCCCGATGTTATGATACATCTTCCTAAAGATGTTGTTAGGGGTCGTTGAATTTCC